AACCCGGCGCGCCCCCCCCCCCCCTCGTTTTCCACAGTCCCTCCAGCGCTGGTGCCGATCTGTGATCCAGCGTAGACTTCTAGTGTCCCACGGAGTCTGTCCAACGTGCACGCTCCCAACTGCGTCCATCCAGCTTCAGCGCCGCTCTCCTCCTCTTCCCCTCCGCTGATCTGGACTGTGCATGCGCCCACCCACACTTCTTTCTTCACAGCGTTTGGGAACCGGGACTTCTGCTGCCGGGAGTGAGCGGCGCTGATACAGGTAAGTTTGTTGGTGTTGTCTAACTTTTTTTATGTTGGGGCATATATTTACTTCTTACTAGCAGTAGATATCTACCAAAACAAACCCCAGACTTTAATTATACATTAAGGCTTATGCCCTAAAACACAAACCAAAACGGTCTGTGGCCATTTCCTGTAGATGAATACATTTACGTTAGTTCATTTCCTTATTGCAGTAAAAGGTCAACAACTAGGTGGCCTTTGTTTTGTGGACAGGTCATCCACGCAGAAGCTTTCACCACCACAGACTCCTCACTGTGTGCTCCAATAACCAAAATGATTACCTGGAATATCCCAGAATGCCTTGCTAGACACCAGAGTGTTTTTGTGTAGCTCAGGATTATACGTCAGGGCACGTCAAAGGGGAATTTAAATATAATTTGTTTGTTTTATGTTATCTTTTGCTTGACAAGTCAACAATGACCAAAATCGATTTCAGAAGTCATGATGTGAAATGTAGCATGACAGTCACATCTTGCATCTCACTTTACTCTACAAATCGGTTGTCTTTTTACCTAGTACCTTTTTGGCCTCGTGCTTTGGTTTGGGGTCCTGGCCTTCTTCATAAAGTCAGTGCAGCTCGGTATGACACGATTAGTCATGAAGGTGTAAACATTACTCATAATTACAATGAACAACTCAGCACCTCCAAAATACTTAGGTTTCCGACATACATTACCTATGCCCCTCAGGTCTAGACTTGCTTACAGGATTCTGTCAGCAGGAGAAATAATCACTTCTCTAAAGAAGAACAACCCGTTTAACCTTTTCCTTACAAGAATCATGCTGCCAGGGCTTGCCAGCGCAACGTTATAAGAAATCGCCTAGTTTACACAGAAAGTCCCAGCCCCTCCTCAATGAATCATACCAGATAGCGAAAACACTGTGCTATGTCACCTATCCCGTGCAGTTATGTAATTTGTTCTAGATAGCACAAATAAAATTTCACTATAGTATATGACAAATAATCATTTTTAAAAATCCAGATATTAAATTTTTAGCCATATTCAAGAAAACTGTGTCTAGCTTTGGCTGTGTATGAAACTGAAAAAATTTGCCAACTAGTAAGTATAAGATGCTCCTTGCTGCCTTTAAAGAATAAAGCGATGACCGTACAAAACATCTAAGCTTCTAAGCTAACCCCACTGATGATTGTGAGCTAACCCCACTGATGAGGAGCAAGCCGATTGGCAGCCCTCGATGTTCGCCCAAGCTTTATCAGACCAGCTCCTTCGATAAATGTCAATGGGGCGGGGGGTGTTTATCTACAGAGACAAGCACTGCTCGAATTTTCTTGATGCTTCATCTTTCTACAAAAAGTGAATGAAATGCCCTATTAGTTTTTGACAGAACAAGTGACCTCATTGGATGCCTTTATTCCTGTTTCAGTGCCAACTAGCTTTTCCCTTAGGCCTTGTTCACACCAAGCGCGTTCCAGGAGCAGAGCAGAGCAGTTACAGACCGGAGCAAAACTGCGTCCAGTGTATTCCAATGGTATTTTTAGCTCCAGTTCACATTGCAGCGTTCCGTTCTCTGGAATGCATGCAAACGCCCTGGAATGCACTGAAAGCCCATTTTAAACTAAAAATAAAAGAAAAATGTTTTAACCAAAAACGGCCCGGAACGCATCAGAAACGCGGCAAAATCCACTGCACTGCGTGTGCAGAAACTCATGCAGCTCTGCATTTGGTGTGAACAAGGCCTTACTTTCAATCCTGGTGACAATAGTCATGAGGAGAAAAAGGAGGAGGGTAAATCTCCCCATCAGAAATGCAGACGCTAATAAAAACCAAACATGGTTTCTAATTCTACCCCAGTCCATCCAAATCTACAACAATTTTTGGCTTTAGTTATACTAACATTCTTTCTGGATTTCTTCTACAATTATGTATTTTGCTAATGTTCATGTTAATGGGGCATATCTGCCAGCAAATTCACCAAATCATACTAAACATGTTTGGTAGTAGTATGGACATTTGTCACTGTGTCCCAAGTCCCATATAATGGTGAGGCTCTTTATTTATCT